AGATCCGATATAGTCACCGCTAACTATGATGGAAACAATGTTAGTGTTCTTCTTAATACTGGCAATGGAACATTTTCCGCTCAAACTACTTATGCAACTGGCACTCAACCATTCTCAGTGGCAGTCGTCGATGTCAATAATGACAACAGATCCGATATAGTCACCGCTAACCAGGGTGGAAACAATGTTAGTGTTCTTCTTAATACTGGCAATGGAACCTTTTCCACTCAAACTACTTATGCAACTGGCACTCTACCATTCTCAGTGGCACTCGTCGATGTCAATAATGACAACAGACCCGATATAGTCACCGCTAACTATGGTGCAAGTACTGTCAGTGTTCTTTTTAATACAGGTACTGGGACCTTTTCTTCTCAAACTACTTATGCAATTGGCGCTAATTCATACTCAGTGGCAGTCGTCGATGTCAATAATGACAACAGACCCGATATAGTCACTGCTAACTATGGTGGAAACAATGTTAGTGTTCTTCTTAATACTGGCAATGGAACATTTTCCGCTCAAACTACTTATGCAACTGGCACTAATCCACGATCAGTGGCAGTCGTCGATGTCAATAATGACAACAAACCCGATATAGTTACTGCTAACTATGGTGCAAACGGTGTTGGCGTTAGCGTACACTGCTAAGTGCAGATGAGGTATTCTTTGGAGTGATAGCTCCAGTAACACTTTCCAATAGATGACACTATTCGCTGAGGATTCTTACTATATGCTATGACAAAAAGTTTTACCAAAAAAACCCTTTTTTGCTTCTGAAGAAATAAATGATGCTTAACATATAACGGGCGACGGTGGATATTGTATAGATTGAGAATGGTTTGAGGAAAGTTTGGACGCTTTTGAAGCGTCTAAATCATCGAGCAGGATTTAAACGTTGTTTAGAAATTCAAGAAGAAGAAACTTTAAAGATTTCAGCGGAATGTCACCAGATTATCTAGTTTGTTTTAGAATTCGAATGAAATAACTTACGCACTTTAGATGAACATTATGTTAAACAGATATCAGTGAGAGTTTGGACAATCATACTCACATGCGGTTGTCTACGATCCCTTTGGTGTGGTATAATATGCTCACTTTTTTGGAAGAAGTGAATTGATTTTGTTATTTCTGCTGTAATTTAATTCTATATTGTAGATTTAGATACTTGTAAAAAGCATTCTTATCGTCTCCATCAATTTTCTCGATTAATAGAAATCATCAACAACCGCTTGAAGTGCATTAATTATGAAATATAACATAGCCATCATTTTGTCTCTTATCGTTCTTCCAGCAGATTTTTGCTCAATTTAGCAGCGTTTTCTCGACCTGGGTGCATCGATAATAAACTCTATACTAACAGCAAATCTTTACAAATAAGTAGTAGTCGTCGCAAAAAACACTTGCAGAATACTCTCAAACATTAAAAATCCATGATGCACACTTAGTAAGAATACAAAAAAACCAAATTGAACTGGGAGAAGAATTGAAATTTACACAACGAGCTCTTTATGTTTCGATTTCAGTTTTAAATGCTCACTCTGAGGATATCAATTATCTTAGGAAGGGTGTTGAAAAACTACACCTCCGTTTTCAACGTCTATTTCTCTACTTAGCAATGAAAGAGATTTTTCGCAATGAACATACGCTCAGCTTTCTATCACCAGAAGATCTAAAACAGTGTAATATATGACGTATTACGACAGGGAAATATGACATTTAATTCTCAGCATGGATCAATTCCCTTAGCTAAAATCGTAACAAACCTTTTACTCCGTCAGCAGTTCCGCTTCGTTCCAAGCTCTCAATACACACCAACAGATCCGTTTGAAATTGATCGTCTTGTTATTACTAAGTATTACTTTTATTGTCGCCTACCGGACCGTACTGTAATATTGAGTGTGTAATTAATATTGCTACACTTTCTTCAGCAATAGACAAGGAATCCGTTTCGAGCGCTGCTAGAAGATTCCACCATTGTAAACGATGACCCGATCAAAATGAGCCAAATTCAACAAATTCTTTAGGTTGAATTTCCAANTTCAAAACCAATTTATTCTATAAGGTATTCGCAATGAAATCTCAGTGGTAGTGTCTGTATTCAAATCACTTCTATAAAACCGATAAAATCTTGGAAAACTTACATATATGTTACCAGTTATTCACAAGTCATAGATACCGTAGGTAAGGTCAGAAGTAATCTTTCTGTTGGTAGTTTATATGACAAGAAGTGTTTTTTAATATTGGAAACAATTATTGAAGAAATAGTTGATAACATCTAGAAAAATATATAATAACTCAGTCTGTGGATGTCCCTCATTGCTTTCTGATCGTAATAGTCGAAGCTATCCGTCTTATTTCACTCCAAAGTTATTGACAAAATATTTGAGTAAATAGATTCTAAATAGATCTTAGAATAAATATTACATAAGATCAAACAACAGATCGTATGCAGGTTCTATTATTTCAATATGAATTGAAGTAATATCAAATAGTATAGAAAATCAGAGTATTATTGTCTTTTTCAGATATGTCCGTATATTTCTAATGGTAATTCGAATGTCTTCGAAATCAGACTTTTAAACTAAGCATGAGCCTATTTTACGTTCCATGAAATAGGGAAACTTTTACCAAAGCGAAGTATCCGATGATAAACCTCATTCTTGTCGTATAGTCATTTAATGCTTGGATATGTTGAATTTTGTAAGCTGAAACTTCAGTGAGGCGCACATAAATTTATAGGAAAAACCATGAACATATTTTTTCTCAATTTTTCATACTCAGCTAGGACTTATCTATGTAACAGATCCAAAGTGAAATATGCTGCCACTCATTTCGGATGATTATCTCGTTAAGTGTCTGTAAAAGTGTTCCGCTTTCTCAAATGAACCTCATATATCGACTGTAGATGAACATAGTGCATGAAAATCATAATGGGAGTGAGCAAGATGCGCATAATCCACAGATGAGATTTTGTTAGGATACAGAAGATTAATCTGTCATGATGTTCATAACTCATGAACAAGCAGATTGTGGAGTTAGCTATTAGTGGTCGCACAATAAAGTTGTTGATGAATTTCCTTTTCTCTACTCTACTATGGTTTTCTAATATTCGCTGCTCTATCGTCATCACATCAGATAAATAATGTATATTTCACCCAAACTAAACTGGGTAGAGCTAGCACTATTTCGTTCTGGCTTGTTGCTTAGTAGTCCAAAATAACGTGAAAATACTTATTCGAAAAAAAGACCATTCGATTCGCTCTAAATATCAATCTAATCAAACAGCGAATTTTTAAAACTAATTAAGGAGTCCTGTCGCTTTATTTTGATGCGCAAGACAGACAAAAAAATGTGTTCGCATTCATAGGCGACTATTTACAAGAGATTCCCAAAAATCTTCTTAATTCATGATGAAATTGTCAATAGGCCTGGCGATAGGCTTTACAATTTCTCTTGTATTTCGAACATTTACATGAGAGTGTAGTTAGAATCATTCTTCATTCGACGGTTAACACGACTTTGACATAGTGATACAGAAAAAACGTCACCAAAGCTGTTATCACATATTGCTCGTTTTTACATGAAGACTATCAATCTTACAACAAAAGCTAAACTAAAACATTTTTCATCCCGGCGTGATGGTATTTCGTAACAGCAGCAGACGAGTGTGTCTATGATTTTATAGTGAGAGATTAGCATTTAGAAGCAACGGACGATTTCACAACATCCCAGCTTCAGCCTTACATCTCACAACCATTTCTACCTTCATCCCGCTCATGCAGGGGATTTCCTGACTTGTCGATCTTTGCTAAGTTCGACATATACAATCAATCTCAAACCATAATTCGAGCTGTATACCTCTGTGAAACAGACTGTAGCGTTTCGTTCAACTAAGTTTCGCTGGCACAACTCTACCGATTACAGTTCCACATCACGCCAATGCTTATGAATGCCAGAAGTGGCTATTCACTAAAGATGGAAAAAACGGACTTTTGAGACTCCTTCTTACTTCAACTAGTAATTGCATAACCTGAACGACACTGAGAGTTCGAAACAGCTAACTTTACTGATACCTTATCCGATCATTTTGTTTTATAACTGAATGTAAATGAGCATTCTTCCATGACGAGACGAGGAAAAATATAAAACACACAAATGCACCGGACACGTCTGGAGCATGCTCATCACTACATATTTTAAGCTAATAGAAAGATTCTTTCACTTATAGTGTTTAACAACACGTTCGTCACTGCGCTTGCTTATGCAACTAGCAGCAATCCATACTCAGTGGCAGTCGTCGACGTCAATAATGACAACAAACCCGATATAGTCACCGCTAACTATGGTGCAAGTACTGTCAGTGTTCTTCTTAATACAGGTAATGGAACCTTTTCCGCTCAAACTACTTATGCAACTGGCACTAGTCCACAATCAGTGGCAGTCGTCGATGTTAATAATGACAACAAACCCGATATAGTCACTGCTAACTTCGGTACAAGTACTGTCAGTGTTCTTTTTAATACAGGTACTGGCACCTTTTCTTCTCAGGCTACTTATGCAATTGGCACTAATTCATACTCAGTGGCAGTCGTCGATATCAATAATGACAACAGACCCGATATAGTCACCGCTAACTGTGGTGGAAACAATGTTAGTGTTCTTCTTAATATTGGCAATGGAACCTTTTCCGCTCAAACTACTTATGCAACTGGCACTCAACCATTCTCAGTGGCAGTCGTCGATGTCAATAATGACAACAAACCCGATATAGTCACCGCTAACTATGGTGGAAACAATGTTGGTGTTCTTCTTAATACTGGCAATGGAACCTTTTCCGCTCAAATTACTTATGCAAGTGGCACTAGTCCACGATCAGTGGCAGTCGTCGATGTCAATAATGACAACAAACCCGATATAGTCACCGCTAACTATGGGGCAAACGGTGTTGGGGTTAACGTACACTGCTAAGTGGAGATGAGGTATTCTTTGGAGTGAGAGCTCCAGTAACACTTTCCAATAGATGACACTATTCGCTGATGATTCTTACTATATGCTATGAGAAAAAGTTTTACCAAGAAAAATTTTTTTTTTGCTTTTAAAGAAATAAATTATGCTTAACATATATCGGACGACGGTGGATATTTTATAGATTGAGATTGGTTTGAGTAAAGTTTGGACGCTTTTGAAGCGTCTAAATCATCGAGCAGGATTTAAACGGTGTTTAGAAATTCAAGAAGAAGAAACTATAAAGATTTCAGCGGAATGTTACCAGATTATCTAGTTTGTTTTAGAATTCGAATGAAATGACTTACGCACTTTAGATGAACATTATGTTAAACAGATATCAGTGAAAGTTTGGACAATCATACTCACATGCGGTTGTCTACGATCCCTTTGGTGTGGTATAATATGCTCACTTTTTTGGAAGAAGCCAATTGATTTTGTTATTTCTGCTGTAATTTAATTCTATATTGTAGATTTAGATACTTGTAAAGAGCATTCTTATCGCCTCCATGAATTTTCTTGATTAATAGAAATCATCAACAAACGCTTGAAGCGCATTAATTATGAAATATAAGATAGCCATCATTTCGTCTCTTATCGTTCTTCCAGCAGATTTTTGCTCAATTTAGCAGCGTTTTCTCGACCTGGGTGCATCGATAATAAACTCTATACAAACAGCAAATCTTTACAAACAAGTAGTAGTCGTCGCAAAAAAGACTTGCAGAATACTCTCAAACATTAAAAATCCATGATGCACACTTAGTAAGAATACAAGAAAACCAAATTGAACTGGGAGAAGAATTGAAATTTACACAACGAGCTCTTTATGTTTCGATTTCAGTTTTAAATGCTCACTCTGAGGATACCAATTATCTTAGGGAGGGTGTTGAAAAACTACACCTCCGTTTTCAACATCCATTTCTCTACTTAGCAATGACAGAGATTTTTCGCAATGAACATATGCTCAGCTTTCTATCACCCGAAGATCTAGAACAGTGTAATATATGACGTGTTACGACAGGGAAATATGACATTTAATTCTCAGCATGGACCAATTCCCTTAGCTCAAATCGTAACAAACGTTTTACTCCGTCAGCAGTTCCGCTTCGTTCCAAGCTCTCAATACACACCAACAGATCCGTTCGAAATTGATCGTCTTGTTATTACAAAGTATTACTTTTATTGTCACCTACCGGACCGTACTGTAATATTGAGTGTGTAATTAATATTGCTATACTTTCTTCAGCAATAGACAAGGAATCCGTTTCGAGCGTTGCTAGAAGATTCCACCATTGTAAACGATGACCGGATCAAAATGAGCCAAATTCAACAAATTCTTTAGATTGAATTTCTAATGAACAATCGGATAATTTCGCAATGACATCATTTTCAATAAATCCTGTGCTGTCTATAGCAAATTGTAATTGTTTGTAATCGGAGTGGTTGAGCTGAGGAGTTAACATGCGGTGCTCCTTTTCGATTTCAATTGGTTGTGTAGGAGAGATGCGCACCTCTAAACGATTTTCGAATAAAAAAACCTTCAATGGCTGTTGAGCTAACCCTTGGAGGATGAGAAAAATAATTCTGTGTTACGGAATTTGTAGAAGAAACGAGGTTTACTTTACACTTCTCTGGACCATGGTAGTATGGACTCAATTTCGTTCCATGAGGAGAAGCATTTAACCATCTATGTATCATACTGCTTGGATTGAGCTTAGGCCGATTAAGAAATTGCCAAAAAAGTTCTCTATAACATCGAATTTCACTCGGCATTTGTGGTTCGAAGATGACAGCTAATGCGCTGTCGCGTTGAACTGGAATGGGATTTTCAAAAATGCTCACCCTCATATCATGAGCCTCTCGTTCAATCTTACATTTGGTGCGGTAACCGTATGAATAAGTGCATGCGCAAGACAGACCGCGTATAGAGTCCATAAGATGTGTATATCGCTGTTTCGCTTGTTGAACTTCCTGTATCTTGTTTTGTTTATCAATCTCGGCTTGACGTCGAATTTGTTCTATGCTGTTATTCATTGCCAGTGATTAACCAGCATAGTAAACACCAAATGCATTGACATGTTTAATGTCTGTTAAAAGATCGGGATATGATTTAGAAGCAAATTCTTTGAAGAAGTCGTAGAGACTTTCGGCTCTGACCATATCGTTTCGATTTGGTAACACCAAAAATTCGAATCGAATGTGCATTCAATCGTTTTAATATGTTGTCCTCGCATAGTTTATGGTGCATGAAGCGAATAATTGTCAACGATGTTAGGATAAATCGGCTATAGCCGACGGGATCTGTTGAACCATAATGCGTCAGTGCTGCATTTTGATACTCTTCGAAAAAAAAACTAATAAATCTTGAAAGTTTTTCTTACGTCCAGCTAGTTCGCCATGATTGATCCATTGTTTTAGATGGGTATCCACGCATATTTCTAAACGAGTCAACGCGACGCCCATAGTATATCTATACACTTATTTGTTAAACTCTCAAGAGAAGGTATATAATCGACGTTTTTAGTATTTTGAGATGAATCACCGTAGTGACCATTCGTGTCTACGCCTGTTTCCAATGCTTCTTGTACGGCACTACCATCCAGATATGCTTTTAGATCTCTACATAAATGTTTACAAATTCTTGTATTGTTCAAATGGAAATTCTCCATTGACAAATCTTCATTTCGGATCTCATTCATACGAACCGCTTGTTGCCAATCTGATTTAGGAAAGATCCGATTGATACTGTCTTGTATACCGTTCTTTGTATTTTCAACCCATTGATTTATACTTTCGGACGCTGAAGAAATTGGTAAATGATCAATTTTATTCAATCGTCGTACAATTTTTCTCATTGAATGCACCAATAAGTCGACTGGATGCGTTCTTGTGCAGATAATGTACGTGAGAAAATGAGTTACGAATAGTTTATAAATGATAATCGCATTTTCTTTCAAAGATTTCGTTAAAATAGTTTGTACTACCACTTTGATAGTCATCCAGAGTCCCGAACGACGAAAAGGTGATGATTCGCTTTTTGA